ACTAGGCTTATCTTCACTATTATTTCCTTCCTTATTATATATTTCCTATCATACCTAGTAGGTTGATTGTACGTGATATCTTTAAAAGTTTCTTAAAATTCTTATTTCAATAAGTTACTAACCACTATTAAAGAGAGTTTTATGTTGAATTACCTAACTTTAATGATAAAGTATATTCTCTAAAACAATGGAATAATGTATTTTCAAGAGTTGATTTGTAAGGATTAGGTTTGTTTTTCAAGCCACTGGGACCCGATTCAATGGTATACGAGCTTGCCTTGTAATCGGAAGGTCCTGGGTTCGAACCCCCAGTGCCGATGATTCCCAAAATAATGTATTTGTTCAAAAGTATAGTTTAAGTGTTTTGTATTGATAAATTTTAAAATTAATACGGTCTATTTACAAACATTTTCTGAAATATTTCTAAACTTTAATTCTAGTTATTCTTAATTATATAAACTGTTCAGAGGAGATATCTTGAGATTTTAACATTGTGTTAAGCATTTTTTTAAATTTTAAAAATGCTTTTTATGCTTCCTGTGTCTTAACATTGTTCATAGTGGTGATCATATTTGAGTAGTATTCTCATTTCTCCAACATTGTTTCCCCCCAATACTGATTAAATTGACTGATATGACATGCATGCGGTAGACTGAAGCAACCAAAAGATAAATTTAAGTGTTATGCACTTAGACTGTGTATGCATAAATAGATAGGGTGGAATAGTAGAAGAGTAGATTTTTCTTAAAAAAAAGAAGACTGTATTTCTACACTTTCTCTTGCTTGGAGGTTGTATAGCTGCGTATCAACATTAAACTTTATGAATGGTAGGTAGTTTAGAGTCACTGAACAAGAGATGTTTATTGACACTTTTTAGGCAAGAGATTTATTTCTAGAGGTTTTCCAAGTCACAATTGATTGCTGTTAAGATTGCATTGTATGCACAAATCCGTCACATTGTATGATGATCACGTAATTAGTGTGTATGCATTAAAGCACTTCACATTTAGTAGCTTTATGCCTAACTGAGTTTTTCAGTAATCTATTTTTCTGGTAATAACTTTATTTGAATACATTGCATTTACATTGATAAATTAAGAAGAATAATTAGTTGGAATAAAGCAAGAACAACAGTTTGTGCAGAATAAAATGGTGCCATCATTTATTCCGTTGGCTTTTCATCAGCTGCTTACATCCCAAAGACATTATTAAGTATATCTACAGAAACAATTTTAACATATTTGCACAGAGTTCATTTTTAAACAAAAATCAATCAATTAATATATGCATACAATGCTAGTAATAATAATAATAATCACTTTATCCCAAATAATCGTACACAACGGAATCTTTCGGCGTTACGTAATCAGATGGAAGAGAGGACGAAAACATCTAGTTACGAGGTCAAAGAAAGACTGATAACCTCTTCTTTCTGAACGCATAAATCGGGTTTCAGGCACTTGATGGAGATTGCTTCGGAAAACTTAAGGAGAATTGAACTCTTTTGCCTACTGATAATTTCGAACGATCTTGAGACGTGCACCTCATGATCCGTGTCAAGGAGATGCCTGGCGATGACACTGTTGAAAGCATTTGTTGTCTTGAGACATAGGCTTTTCGATACATTTTTAGAAAATCGGAGGTATGCCCTTCTTTCTGTTCTGCCAATGTAACTGCTCCCGCAGATACATGTAAATTTGTATACACAGTTGGAGATAACATGAGAAGGGTATCTGTCGACTTTTGATTGCACCAAAGGAGAGCATGTTGTTCGATAGATGGGAACCAGCTTAGCTGATGATTAATGAGTATGTTCCTTGAATTCATGATTACCCTTTAAGAAAATTAGTCTGCTTACAGTATAACAATTCGAAGTCGACTCTTCCGATTTTCTAATTTCAAAAGAGATGAATTATCCACAGGAGATATTTTCAGAATACGAATCTGTAAATAGATGAACTCTTCTCCTTTAGAATAACTCGATAGATATCTCTTTGTAATACTTCATTACATGAGACTAAATGATAATTGTGTATATTATGATAGAACACAAGATTTTATGTTTCACTGGTAAAACTTATACATACAACCGGCTCCCTTTATTAGTTTGAACAAAGAAAGAAGGGACATTTTTGCAGGATAATACGAGCTTGTTTTATTTCGTGGATTTTTTTTTCAGCTTTATAATTGTTCCCTTGACTTATTCAAGGTTGAATGACTCTAATCAATTTGTTGTAAACATATATGTACTACACTGCCTTGAACTCTGTACCTAGGCCTCTTCTGTTAAACAAGCTTGCTGCGTCACAAGCACAGTGCTGGATTACCAAGTGGTTGCATTCCTGTTTTTCTGATAGGAGACAATACACTGTTTACAATAGGAAGTCCTCCACTACCTCACTTACTCTAGCTAGTGTTTCTCAAGGAGCTGTTCTTTCTCCTTTTCTGTTTTCCTTCTCCTACATGAATTGCCCCATTATGATGAAGCAAATTTTGTTAAGTATGCCAATGATCTGACTGTTTCTATGCCCGTTACTTCTCAGTCAGACTGTTCCAAAATCAATAACTTTCCATCAGAAATTAGTTAAGGGTCCTCGTCAAATGGTCTTAAGCTTAGTCCCTCCAAATGTCAGGCGGTTAATTTCACTTTCAGACACGCAAGTGCGACTTACATGAACTGGTTAGTTCGCATGGTTCCACTATCATAGATGGCACTGAAGTTGAAACCAAATCGAGTGTTAAATACCTTGGACTGAGTATTACCTCTGATCACCTTTCCTGGTCTTCCCACATCTTAGTTTCCAGAAAGATATTTCGTTTAACGTTCTATGTAAGGAAGTTAAGACGATCTGGTATCACTCAGTCTCCACATTCACAGTTTGTTAATTCTTGTGTTCTACATATTCTTCTTTAGTGTTTCCCCATAGCCTAATCTTTCCCGAGCTACTTAAGAAAGACTTTATTTTACTGTGAAGGGCACCAAAAGCAGTCAGTAGGGCGAGTGAGGTGTCGCTAAACCAACTCACTAATACTATTGTAGATAGACACTCGGATTCCTGCAAGAAATTAGCAAATATTATCTTGTCAGACTCTGAACATCCTCTCTCCTTGCTGCATCTCATCGGTTAGAACTAGAATCAACTATAGAAGACTGTATTCTCGGATGACTAAGTACAAAATCTCTACAATACCTAATTTAGCACATATTATATGTGATGAGAAAAGTGTAAGATAGGAAATTGCCAACTTATTGAGAAACTCTAAGTAAATGGCCCCATCTATTTTTCATTGTCACAATGTTGTTAATATTTTTACTTAATTTTATATTCATTTTCTTATTGAGCAACATAATCAATGCAAATGGCCTGTTTTAATTATTACCCCTGTAATGAGAAAGTTAGATGCAATACTGTACTACATGCTGAAAATTGCATATTTGTACCCAAAAGTACTGTTTGGAATAAAGCTATTATTATTATTAAAACATAAGTTACAAAGAAAACTTCTAACTTTCTTTGTTAAAACTTTTCAGTATAGAAGAAAAAGTAGAGACTAGTGATTGCTTTATTCTCAACTGAGATCCATTAGTAGTGTATACAAACACAGCTTTGTGTAAGGTTAGACATGTGACGTTTGGGTGTCAGTCAGGACGATAGTTTTGTAGCTTGAGGGTCTTGCGCTCACTTCCTAATTATGCTGTGAATATGCTCACCTAAGGAGTCTTAAAGCTGCTATAGACTGTTGTATAATTTCTTCTGGATTTCAGAATTTCACTGGTCAATTTCAGCATGAATTGTAAAAGCTGCTTTAAAATCGATTAACTGTTCTCAGTATACACTCAATAATATTATATATATATATAATATATATTTGCGTCGGTGGATAGCGGTTAGGACGCTCGCCGACCATGCATGTGGTCCGGGGTTCGATCCCCGGCCGACGCACTCCTTTACCTCGCTAAGCCAGAAATAATGCTGGTAAAGAGGAAAGGTTGGCATAGGAATTCTATTTTATTCCTCTATGTTGTGAGTGGAACATACGGCTAGCGCTTTGAAGTTTAGCTAGCAGTGGTTTTATTTTTACGGGGTGGAGTTGCTAGCCTCACACCCAGCCTTCCTTTTTACCGGATTTACTACCGGTCTAGCGCGATTTAGGAGTGCGTCGGCCGGGGATCGAACCCCAGACCACGTCCGTGGTTGGACAGCATTCTACTGCTGAACCACTAACATATATATATATATAAATTTAGAGGAAGTTTTATTTTTGTTAATTTATGCACGGATTAGTAATCAGTTTTATTGAAATCAATATAACATTTAATTAATAGAATTCATGAGTGGATGTTACCTTTCATGTTGTTCTTATCCCAAACATTCTTGCGTGTTAGTTTTTTGTGCTTTGAAGCGTAACGAAAATATCAGATAGTATTAAAGGAACTCCATTGACATTACGTTTCCTGTAAGTCTTGCATAAATATTCCTACCGATAGCTGCTCCATAATGTGGTAATTCGGTTTGCATATCGCAGTGACCCAATGAGCCACACTGTCTGGAGTGAATGTTACTGTCTGTCTTACGATATCAGAAAGGTTGTTCGGTTATCAATTAGACTAAAAGCAGTTTCCATCACAGCAATCCCACTATGTTGTCTCGATGCTCTGGAGGACAAGAAGGGTAGAGGAGGTAGACCCCGAAAATTGTATATCCCGACTTACTTTGCGCCGGTCCGCTGCCACCGGTAAGATCGTTACATGGACACAATTCCGAAAACCACTTCAAACAGGTCGTGTGTTACAGGCCTCAAGTATGGTACGTCTTCACCAGACACTGAACACTGAAGCCATTGGTCGTTACAACATGATCCTTAGTAGCTGCCTGAGATTCAGAATATTTTAAATTCACTTTTGCAGTTAATGTATCAAACTTTATTAATAATTACATATTTCATGTATATATGTACTAACATTTGAAACCTTTCACTTAAAAATTGTCTCTCTCCAGGATCCGTTTGCGTCGTATGATGTGAACAGTAATGACGATAATCCAGAACCACGTTACTTAACAAGGGATAAAAGTAATACTAAGTAAGTTAACAATTTATTTACTTTTATGCATTGTATATCAAACAGTTACGTTTCATATTTTGCGAAATTCCAATTGCGTAACTTAATTTATGAATTTCATTCCAAATTGTAACTTTCCTATGATTTAATTAAGTTTCTCGTTACTCTTCTTTTAATTAATTATAAGTTTGGGGGGGGGAATTTTAAATGCATTCGCTACGTGTCTTTTTGAAACTTTCAATATCCAACATCTTCAAAACCTACTATTTCAGTTTTTTGTCATATTCATTCCGGATTATGCGTAATAAAATTTACCCTTTTTAAGTATATAAATTAGTCCAACCATGACATTATTGATTTCATGTTAGTAGCCTTAAAAACTGGTTCACTGAATGTCGGTTGGCATTTAGCTATTAGTTGTAACCTTATTAGGTAATGTGTCTGTTTTAGACATAAATTATATTGGGTTGAATGACAGTTAAACAGTGATTGATTAGCAATGCTTGTCATAATTTATTGTGATTGATCTTAACCACTTTCTTGTACTCCATGATTTCATAAACTTGAGGCTTTTTGTTGGCCTTACTCTGTAGGTGTGTTGATAACGCTGTCTATAGGTCTTTTTATTATGTTTGGACTTCATTGTCCTTGTAAACAGCATTTTCAGTTCTAAATTCGCAGTGAACTTTGATTTTGGAATTTCACATGGATGAAATAACTGTCTTCCCTGGTGATCTTAACAGTGATTGATTGTCTCCGAAGGTTCCCATGTACTGGTACTGTTTTTTCATTGATCTGGCATGTGGGGTTTTGACATTGTGGCCTATTCTTTATTAATTGATATGTTCGGTGATTTATGATTTGATTTTATTCCTTAGCGTTTCCAATGGGACATAGGGACTCATGTTTAAGCTTTGAAGTTTGCGGAGTAGCGTGTTTATTTTTTACGGGGTGAGTTTGTTAACCTCACTCCCAGCTTTCCCCCTTTACTGGGCTTACTGCTGGCTAAGAGAGATTGGCGAGCGTGTTTGTCGGGAATCGAACCTCGAAGCGCTTGAGTGATTGGTGAGTATTGTATCAGTGAACCACTGACCCACAAAATATTTGTTAACATTTCTTTTAACTTCAGATTAATCTGGTAATCAGAATTCTCCCCTATTTTCAGTGTTTCCTCTGTTTAAGATTTCTACATTTTCTTAGTCGAATTGGTATCCACGTGATATGAAGGAGTAAATATCATGTCTTCTAGTTGTTTGTTGAAGATGTGTTGTTGAAGCCATACGTACCACTTGGTGGAACCCAAGGGAATAATAATAATAAGTGTTTGTTTATGCAAAGGTGAAGAAAACGTCCATTTTGTATGATGTTTCTATCACACCTGATGGTAAAAACTGTGTTAATTTGACTTAACTTTTGCTTATTTTTTCTAACTACTTAAAACTCTTCCGTAATTCCGTATTTTATTTTGTTTCGATGTACACCCTGAGCACAACTCTTTCATCAAACTATTCACGTTATTACGTAACTCTTCTTTAACAATCGTTTGTGACAAATCATCACTTTTGTTACTACCCTCCTATTATTATTATTATTATTATTATTATTGTTTCCTTTAATTCCTAGAGAAACATAGGGCTTCAACCGTGCGTCTCCATTGCGTTCGGTTCTCTGTTAGAGTCTTCACCTGGCTCCATGTCTGCCCACACGTTTTCATCTCCTCTTCACATGACCTCCTCCAAGTCACCCTTGCAATGACGACCAACTCGCCGCTTCCCTTTCGGGTTCCACTCGAGCTATGGCCTGGCGTGTGATGTCACTTGATGGTTTCCTCAGAGTATGGCCAGCCAATCCAATTCCATTTCTTCCTGCCTATTTGTTTCACAATCGGTTCCTGCTGTGTTTGTTCGCTCATTGCCAGAGATCTCTGTTGCTGATCTTTTCTGGCCGGCCATCTGATCTTGAGTAGTATTGAGCGAAGACAACTGTTAATGAAGGCCTGTAGTTTGTTTGAGATGCTCTTTATGACGCGCAGTGCAAGTCTCTGATCCGTATAGTAGCACTGACTAACCTCACATTGGAGTTGAAAATCCGTATCTTATTTTCGATGCTGAGTGCTGTTGACCTCCACACAGACTTGAGAATAGTGAAAGCTTGTCTTGCTTTTCCGATTCTTGCTTTGATTTCCTCGTCAGTTCTGCCTGTAGTTGAAACGATGCTTCCCAGGTAGGTGGGTGAAGGAGGTTGTTTCTTTCAGGTTCTTTCCATTTATGCTGATTGTTGTCTGTTGTTGTTGTTGTTGCTGTTGGTGGTGTTGCCCAGGAATCTTCATCACCTCTGTTTTCTCTATGTTCGCCTGAAGTCCTATCTTTGATGCTTTCTCTTATATCAACATCCAATTCCTCTGAACGGATTTTGTATTATGCAACTCCACGAAAAACTTACTAATTGTATTTTCGTTTGACCAATTTAATGTACACATATATACAAAATAAGCATATATATATTTACAAAAGTACAGCTGTGAAATGAATTCGCCAAAAAGAGAATCTTCGTTGAACTATGGTCTTCTCTCTATTACTGTTTGAATGGGGATTTTTATGAGTTAAAAAGTAGCAGTTAATTTTATCGGTGTTGTTGACTGTTGCTTCTTTTTATGTTGTGTCATTTGGTAGATATAGCGAGTGGAAAGTATGTTATAGAGGTTTAATTGTTCTAGCAGTGGTTTAGTAGATGTTCTTCATATGCGGTGAGATGATTTTCTTTAGGGTTTCATATGGTGTTTGTCGACTGATTTGAGTGTAGACATCTTTTGATAAAGTCGAGTCGGTATCCATTTATCCAAAAGATGATCAGAAAATATTTCTGTTGTTATCTTCTCAGAAGAAAATGACACATTGTGGCTTTGCTTTCCTGAATACTGTTTGTATACAGTTCAGTTTATTTGCTGTAGGATTAATGCTTGAAGTAATTGAAAATTTGTCCCCTGTGGATTGACTCTCTGCATATTTGTATTCCTAATTTTGCTGTGCTTGTTTTCTTGTCCAAGACACCTAAAAGTTGAATTCCATCTGATTACTCTTCTTTTGTAAATTTGATACTTTCAAACACGTTGATGATTAAATTATGGTCGTTTTGTAAATTATTTCTTCTAATTCCGATGAATGTTTCGTCCAAGTAACGTGTTCTAGCTGTCTGTCTAATTATTGGGAGTTTTTTTTGCATAACAGTTCCAGTAATTAGTCTTTATAAGAATGATTCTGTAGATGTCCTTTTCGTTGAACATCTTATCTCCATCCAGCTTGAACATTGTATTTTTGTGAGTTCAGAGAGAGAGAGAGGTATCCAATATTGCATGGAGGATTTCATCATGAGCTGACATCAGTTAGAGAACCACTGGAAAACCTGGGAGTACTGGAGAGCTGTTTCGTCCTAGTTTGGGACTCTTCATCAGTACGCACCCATCACCACGGTTCGAACCCAGGACCTTCTGGTTACAAGGCGAGCTCGTAGACCATTGAGCCACTGGAACCCGATCCAATGGTCCTTGAATTCTAACTTCTGCCGATTCACGACATAGCGCGACCATTTCGCAATGTCTTCTTCGATGAGTTACTGCCTCATCTTCAACCTGCTGTACCCTACTGGTCACGGCTTCCCACTAGAACCCCAGGTTAACTGCCTGAATAGGGCCAGTCGCTAGTGAGCATCAGATTAATTTTCAAATACTTGAAAAGTATCCAATATCATTGACTAGTTTACTGCATCCATTCTCTTGCCACGACGTTTTGTCCAATTGATGTTCACAACGAAGTAACACCAAACGTTATCATAATTTTATCTTCATCTCGTTGAATGTCTTGATTTTCTGCAAAATGTTTTAGTCAATGGTGACTTAATAGAATTTTTACTAGGTTCTGTCAGATACTTTATGAAGCATATACGTTGGATTTCCTGGATTTTTGTGAAGAATACAGTTGAATACTTACGTGTCGTGTCATTCATACTGCTTGAGTTGTTTTGTTTTTTAGTGTTATACTAGTTAGAAGCTCCTGTCAATAATGAAGAAATAGAATCATAGTTTATCTGAGAATGACAGATACTTTATACTTATGAGTCTTGGTTTTTATGATGCTTCAATGTAAAATTGTAGATAGCGTTTTTTTTCTTTGTTAACTGTCTTACTTATTACTGTATAAAAAAGATTACTTCTTACCTTATTGACATTTTACTATCGCTATCCTATTTCACGTTTTTTTGTATTTATATACCCCTTTGTTTAATGTTTTAACAACAATTGTATGAGGATCTTTTATCCATCGTATTGTGTTCATCAAGTGACAATCACCATATTTCCAAGTATTGGTTTTTGTAGGGATTTGATTGATTGGCTACAGGATTTCATCATGAGCTGACATCAGTTAGAGAACCATTGAAAACCAGCAGAGGGAGTACTGGACAGCCAGCTGTTTCCTCCGTCCTACTTTGGGACTCTTCATCAGTACGCACCCACCGCCAGGGTTCGAACTCAGGACCTTCTGGTTACAAGGCGAGCTAGCTCGTAGACCATTAAGCCACTGGGACCCTACCCAATTGAATGGCCCATGAATTCCAACTTCTGCCAATTCACTACATAGCGCGACCGCTAGCCAGTACTCCCACGTTTTCCAATGGTTCTGTAACCGGTGTCAGCTCATGATTTTTTTATTCTTCACGTCCCAGTGGACATAGGGCTTCAAGATATAGGCTGAAGTTTCTGTGCAGTGTATTTTACAGGATGGTTGCTAGCCTCATGCCAACCTTTCCTCTTCACCAGCTTATTCTGGCTTAGCGAGAAAGGAGTGCGCCGGCCGGAGATCGAACCCCGGACCATATGCATTGTCGGCTAGCATCCTAACCGCTATGCCACCGACGCCCATATGAAATCCTGTAACCCATCACCATATTAATGTATACTTGAATCAATTTATTTTATTATATATTGCATCATATTGCATGTTTGTTTCTAAATTGTTAATTATTAT